TTGATAAGAATTTGAATTGAGAACTTACATAACAATTCCTATTGAGTGTTGCCAAACGCTCTAGCTAAAACAAAACAAATGAGACACAATCTATTTTAAACCTATTAAACATATCGTTTAAAGTTCATTTCGTCTATTTTTAATTTTAATTCTAGCAAAGAACGCCGTTCGTCCTTATCCTTGTTCATAATCTTTTACTTCGTTCGTCGTTGTGGCTGGCAAGTAACAATTTGACTTCTCCGAGCTATATATTCTTTCTAAGTTTATTCAGACACCACTGACAAAAATTGCAAGGAAACCCGGACCTTAAAAATCTATATCAAAAATATCTTGTATAATAGTAATAGTAATAGCTTGAAATCGCCAATACGCCTTGATCAAGCGTGGTGACTCATGCTGAAACCTCAATAATTTAACGACCAAAAAAAATTTTATAAATAAAGTAATATTTTTCAATACACATTTGATGAATTTAAATAAATGAAATTATTGATGATGAGTGAAGTTGGAAAGCAAGAAAAAAGAAGAACAATACATAGAATGAATATTTTATTTTACAATACTGCACTTTGTCCAAACTAAAGCCTTAGCCGTGGAGTGTAGATGAATGTCCTCAATTCTGAACTGAATCTTACTTCTTACTTATATTCTCAATGCGTAAGTTACGATATTTGGATGTTTAGGACTCAATCTCTCCAAAACGGCTCGACGGATCTGAATGAAATTCAAGACAATCATAGGATACACTCCGGAATAAGACGTTACTTTATCAACATACTACGCGGGCAAAGCCGCGGGCCAAATGTTGGCGTCGAATATTGGTTTTATAAATAAGATAACAATTTACTAACCTATAAACTACATTTAATAAAAATAACATACAATTAAAAAATATTTCTTTATTTATCATAAGAATTTACACTTCATTAAAATTAAAATCTCCAAAAAATGTTCTTACTTACCTAACTAGGAAAATGGACTTAATTACCTTTCGAAAAGAATCAAAATACAAAACAAAAGTCGTCTCAAGTAACACTATGCCAACACTACTCACACATTCAGTCTCACGCGTCCCTTAAGCTCCTTTTCAAGGGCTGGTGAAGGTCTCAACAAAAGGAGTCAGTCAAGTGTAACAGCGACATCAACTTGTTAGCTAGTTTCCACTCCAACTTGTTAGATCAAAACTATATGAAGAATGGTAGAGTATTTATTTTCTCACAAATTGTCACACTTTCGTCCGTAGTTTTCCCAATTTTATTGTGACTTCTTTTGTTATTTGACTTTGACTTAGTAACAAGTTGGCAATTTGTTTTATTGTATTTTAACTTGTAATGACAATCATTTTGTTTTGTATTATGAACTCAAACATTCGATTACACACACATGTAAAAAAATGTACGTAGTTTTTTTATGTGGTGCACTACCGACCTTTTCGGGATTAGGTATTTGGAGATTTTGGGATTGGAGGAGGGAAAGTATTGGGCTTCTGGTAAGCTCAGTCACACGGCAAAACACCTCATTCAAACCTTCCCCTCCCGTAATCCCTAAATCTCCAAATCTTTAATCCCCAAAAGGTCGGCAACGCATTCGTAACTTCTCCGTTGTTGCGGGTGTCCAAGGGCGGCGCTGATTGCTTACCATCAGGACGATTGTCGACCTATCACATAAAAATTAAAAGATTGAATTCAAAGAATATCTTACCTATGCCATGGCCTCGTCGAAGACTTAGTCACTTCATGAAACCATCAACCTAACAATTTTAAGTTTGGTTTTGCCAAGGTGTCCTTTGATGATTTATCAAACCCAAAATTTAAATTAATCTACTTTATTTCCTCATATTCATATTCCATCACTTCACTGCATGGTAAAAAATTAACTCGATTTCTCTGTTCCTGTATCCCAATATATACTTCAATCTTCAACTATGCAACGCATTTTGCTGTAGTTTTTTAATAGCTAGAGTAACTTGAATATGAAGGTTTATATACGTACTAGCTTCTCTCACGCGGTTTCACCCGCTGCTCGGCTCCATTTGATCGTAGCGTGATGTTTTATAGCCTATAGCACTCCAGAACGTTGTAGCTATCTATCAGTGAAAGAATTTTGGCAATCCGACCAGCGGTTCCAAAGTATACTCCCTACATACAAACTTACAAATGTTACCTCTTTATAACATTATAGTATAGTATAGAAGTATAGATAAGACTATATAACATCCATTAATAGTGCATAAATTAAGTATCAGCACACTATTTTAATATCGCTAGAATACTATTATAACCTCATGAAGTGAGTTAATCTACAATCTACGACAATTATAAAAAATAGATAGAAAAATAAAATTATTTTTCAGTTCTATACATAGGTATAATATGTACCTACGTCACATACATACCTGTCTATCTATTTTACCTTTACCTACATATGTACTTCTACAATAAATTGATGTTGCTATTTGATGTTTACAAAAACTTTAAGGAAAACAGTTGTGATATACAACGTCAAACACATAATAGTTGACATTTACATTGGCGGTTTTTTATAAGCAATAAGAATCATAATATATATGAGAATATCATAATCAACAATACTTACCGGCTTAGAAACGATGTAAACATAAAATACAATGAAAATATATTATGCTAGCTCCATTTGATCGTAGCGTGATGTTTTATAGCTTATAGCACTCAGGAACATTGTAGCTATCTATCAGTGAAAGAATTTTGCCAATCCGGCCAGCGGTTCCAAAGATTACCCCCTACATACAAACTTACAAATTTTACCGCTTTATAATATTAGTATAGATTAGACGGGGTTGCGAAATAAGCGCTATAATGTACTGTGATGAGGGCCTAAAGCAGAGGGTATGAGGTGGTTTTTAGTCAGTAAGAGTCTGCAGCTCCCTCACCCTAGAGCGAGAGAAAACATGTGATGATTTTCGCCACACAAATAAAAAGACTATCAAAACGTCTATGTTATATGTATTATTTTGGTAAGCTTATTCCTCCGTCGATTAAAAAGCGTAATGTTATTCAACTTGCTGACACTTCACACTTCAAATAGGACGAGAGAAGAAATGATGACGTTTTTTCCTCTAAAAAACCTTGGGTGTTAGTTATTATAAACTAACAATGAATGCTATGGTGAAGAGTGGTATGTCAGAATCGTGCTGTTTGACATTCAATTGTTTCTGACTACTCCACTGGGAGATGTGCGTGACGATATGTATCTATAAATAAACAATTAGATCTTGTAGGATGCTTAGATTTTTTTTTCTTCGTGTATCTTAGTAAATATGTTAATTTTTAATGCGTCCTTGGAATATCATTATTTTCTTTCATTCTATCTTAAAATATTATTGTCATTGCTTCGTAATCAAATTAATAAAAAAAAGCTTTTTAACATTAACATTCTCAATGTTTATTATTGAACAATAAAAATTGCGTTCGTAATTTGAAAAAATAATATATGTCAAATATAAGTCAAAAAGTAAATCATTGATGTCATTTATTTTGAGCAATAACGTGAATACTAGTTCATCATAAAATTAATTTAAACACAAAAAATGTAATACCAATTTAGCTCGAACTAAATTTAATAAAAACGTAGTTAGGTAATTCTGATAACAAATTAGCGAAATGAAATTTAGTTTTTCATTTATTTAGAGCACACTCACCACTCAGTTGCAATGTCACAACATTCGGGACTCAAGAAAACAGATGACAAAAAGCTCGACGCTTAATGTCCCGGGGATTTGGCACTGTAAGTTTGAGTGCTAGGCACTAATGAGGAGCTACCTGTAGCGGATCATGTGGAGCGAGCGACAGTCGCGCGCAGGCTTCCACGCGGTACGGTAGCCCCGTCATGCCGCTCACCGCTCTCCGAGCGCTCCGTCCGAACATGTCCGAACATATCTAACCGACACAAAATTCAAAATTATTCCCCACTTCAGGTGTAACACAAAGTGAGTTCAAAGTTCGGTTTGTTGTCGTGAATTTAGGAAGGAAACCACCTGTTGGTCGCGATTTGGCATAGTCCAGTGGACAGCGTCACAATCTGTTTACAAGAGGGGGGACCACCCCCGTGGGTCATGACGCAACATTTTATGGGTGCCCTGTGTTGCGTTACTATGGCGGAAAAACAACACTTGTAGTTTCAAAATAGATTTCCGTGTTTCCACCTGCAGTGACCATACACTTACTGCGTGGCCTAACAAAAGTGAAAAGAAATGACGATCGGTTTAAAACTCAACATTCCCGCGTACGTAGATTTGAAGACAACATAAGCAACATGTTTATGACGTATTTTGGTACCAACTGTTGTTAATTTGTAAACGCTAATTTCACGGCTAATTACAACAACAAAGATTCCTTCATCTTTGTTAACAAAGAACTGTTTGAATAATACGAATTATCAGTTGGTACCATAGCTGGAGATGCAGTCATTCGTATAGTAACAGCAGCCACAAGTTCAAGGTTTAATCAAGCGTCAGGTGATAATTACGTCTTCAAAGCAAAAGATCTTCATAACATAAACATTGAAAAAATTACACCACAATGTTTATCGAATCAAAATAGTCTAGTTTCATTGAACTGGCGAAGCAATAAATATTTTAATCTGGACGCATTGATCTTGAACTAAATGTTTGATAAATCACTTCTCAATGATTGCAAATCAACACATGATTGTTATCGAATAATTATAAGTTGTTATAACCGATCTAATCATGAACCCATGATACGTAATCTTACCTCATTTACAATCAAACCGAATCCAGTTTACCTAATCTTACTTTGCTGGAACTATAAACGAGTTGCATTCCAAATCGCCACCAACGTATAGTTTCAATCCTATCTGTTGAAAATAAAGCACAGTTTGAGTAATAACTCATAGTTTATTAGTTTTAGGTCGGCGAGCAATGAAAATGTCTAAAACAAACTCCTAATTTACGCGAATGCTGTACCATATCAAAACATAGTGTGAAATATAAACATATCCGAATTTTTGAATGATCGATTAGTAAACTGGTGGTTGGTGAACGTGGTGACGTGATTCAGTGACGAAGTGTTTGTGATTGTTTGTGCGGAGATAGCGTATAATGTGATGATGAGGCGAGGGAAAGTGCTGCTCGAGGGCAGCAGACAGGGCTCTGTCGACGGTAAAGCGAACGTGGCTAATGATAAGGAGCTGGTGCACAAATGCCATAGCGATCCTGGTGGTGGGCGCGCTCTTGGTGCCGCCCCAAGGACGCACAGGCATCGATCTGCGTCGGGCGCGACCAGGAAATGCGTGTTGACGCTCGACGGATACTCATATGTCATTGGTGAGTCGATTCTGACCAGCCGTGGGCAGTTCGAACTAGTTCTTTCTCTAAGATTTTATCTTATGTCTCGCTACCAATTAATTCTGGGCCGACACTTGCGGCACTTCTAATGAGCATTGATTCATGTTTTAATTACAATCACCTGACTTCATTTAGAGTACAGCTTCTCGTCTTACTTGGCGGAGTAACGTTATTATTATAAGCAGAATCTTTTTTCGATTTATGGTGTTATCAATAACAGAACGGTTTTTTGAAGCTTCTCAAATCTATTGACGCACTCAGTTATGGACTGCCAGATGCGAAGGTAAAAATACGTGTGTATACAAATTAGCGTTTTGGTTTAGTAAATAATTTCGAAGATCTAACATTGTGTTTGAGTACAGCCTCAGGATACGTTCCATGTTCTTGTAAGCTAATTACAATATCTACAAAGGATTTACAAGCAATTCAATGACAGGTTGTTAATTGCATGCCGATTGCTAGGTTTCAATACCTTAAATTTATGATCGTGAATTTGTTATAAGGTATTTCAATTAAGCAATTGTTCGATAAACGCTAAAGAAATTCTATATTTAATGGCTGATTCTAAATGACTATCTTTTGTAGATTATCGGAATTCGATAGTTCGATAGCGTTTTGTTTTGATAAAAAAAATGGTGTCATCCTGCTATGTAGATGAAAGTCTATGGAGAGTGGTAAATATCAAGGATGTCATATCTAGTAATGACCTTTCTAGCATATTAATAGGACACAAGTTGTGTATTATAGGCACGCCTAATTCACGCCAGGCGTACAACGGCACAATAAAATGATCCATATTCCTTTTAGCAGATCATAATTTGTAAAATCCCTAATACATTGGCATTATCTACTTAAATGTAAATAAATAACAATAAATAAATTCTTCATTCTTTCTCTCATTTTTTTCAAAAATCGGAATCAAGAACGATGTAATAAACTCTCCCGACTTTACTTGATCCTAATTAGAGTTCCGTTGTGGTGTAATTCTGCAACAATGCCTCGTCACCCAATAACGTCTTTTAACGGTTTCATTATTAGCGTGTCTTCCAGGGCTGTTTAATAAGTCTGTCAGGGTGAAAACAGTGTCTGGATGTCTATCTCTTTCCCTCTTTTCGTATTTTTTGTAATCTTTCGCCAGATAATAAGCTTTCTTCCACTGTAGCTAGATGAGTCACGATTTTTTTTGTATGGCGTTAAGTTCGGTATTGCAATATCTCTTAAGCTTACTTACAATTTTAGGGGGGAAATCATTACATAGTTTTAGACAAATAAAAACCATCCTTCAATAATGGGCGGTTTCAATTCTCGGGCTTGCACCTGCAAACCAATTTAAAAATTGGCTTGTGTATTTTTTGTTAGTTACTATTTCAATATTGAAAATCCAAAATAATTTCATAAGTAAATAAATTTATTTTCTTTATACTCTAGTTTTATATAAAACAACATTGAAATAAAACCACTAACTTTAATTGAGTGTTTATTTTGCATATTTTTTGTGCGATACAAAATTGGCGCACGATCTCAATCACAAACACTAGTGAAGTCATCGACATACATTAATTACTACAAATTTTTTGTTGTCAACAATTTTAGTTCACAGTTACTCAACTACTTGTTCTTCTAATTATTTTATGTTATCTATGTAGGCTACATTCTATTAAGCATTGACCTCCTTTAACGTCTTTTTCTATATTAATAATACAAGCAAAAATTTTTTTGTGCAACTTTTCCGGGACTAGGTTGTAAATTATCTATACAGTTAAAAGATTACACGGAAGAGAAAAGTAGTAATCTACTTAAAGATAAAATTATATATTCGATTATGTTTTATCCATGTCATTGGTTTCTTATGGGATAGGAGGCAAACGAGGAGACTCATCACTAATTATACGTGATCCGCCCATGGACATCTGCATCACCAGCCGAGTCACAGGCGCGTTGCCGGTCGTTTAAAACACTCTTTCTTAAGATGAAAACACTCTTTCTTAAGAAAGAGTGTTTTCATTTTTTTAAAACTTGAAGGTCGTATTGGTTCGCAAAAATCCTCCTTGAAAGATCATATTACAATTATTTGCTGAATTTACCTTTTATTATAATTTAATACAAAATTCTTATTTAAAGTTCTAAGCAATTTGAATACGTTCTTTTCTATAGTGTATAGTGTAATCATTGCAATTGTAAACTTTTAAATAAACCTGAATACAATCTCATGCATGACATATATTATTAGGTACGTATTGTGCTTGTAAATGTGAATAAGCTTTTTTTTTTCTAAGTCGGAATGTCTATTACTAACAAACGATGACCATTAAAATTTATAGCAATTTCCGAACAGACATGGAACTATGAAAATAAAATTTCCAATCTCTTAAACAGTCTTTCTATCTATGTAGTTATTATTAGGACTAGTACAAAATGAACCGAGACTGGCTAGTTTCTTTTTATGATCCCTTTTTAAGATAACAAAAGATTATCTCCTTTTGCGAAAGCTAGTGTAACCGTCCAAGAGCACAGCTTTGCGATTACGATCCGAAACACGTGTGTCTTTAATAATATTTTATTCCTTCACCACTTTTGTGGATTCCTTTTGAAATACGAATTAGTTTTACTTATCTTTTCGTTCTATATTATGTATTATTTGTGTCTAGTAACTAACACTTTCTATACTAGATTTATTGTAAATACCGACTAGGTAGTAGGGAATTGCTGAGTAAGTTTTATACATACTTACTGAGCAATTCTCTACTACCTAGTTTCAAATCAAAACAGGTCTCTCATTCAGGAGCAGCGTGCGCTTCGCAAATAGTTTTATTTTTTCAATTAATGCTCAATGTTTTATTTACATTTTATCTTACTTCTGTAATTACTGCAACTTAAATTATGTGATAGGACGGCAAACGGGCAGACCGATTACCTGATGGTAAGGAATCGGCGTCGCCCATGGACACCCGCAACAAAGAAGGAGTTACGAGTGCGTTGCCGACCTTTTAAGAATTGGGATTTTGGGGATTAAGGGATTGGGAAGGGATTGGGGTAAGGGAAGGAGTACAATTATTTCTATTTATATACAATGTATAATTACTACCGATATACTTATTGATTTGCTTCTCAACAACACCGAACCACTACGTTTACTTATTAGGTAGCGAATTCATTATCTCAACTCAACTATATGTTCAGGTGTAATATGCTTTGATGAAAAAAATGGACTTGTCGTCATTATAATTTCTATTCTTTTAATATACAGTAGTCAATAAAATATTTTTGTAATAAAATTGCAGATTTAATAATAGAAAAGGCGAAGAATTCCATTTCATTCTTCATTTGCTTCATACAGAAGGCTTTATTCATGGCTTGAACTAAATGGAATGTAAGCAATTGCACAAACAATTGTCTTCGTGATAGCGTTGGATTATTTATTTACTGTCCGTTCGTTGTTGAAGGAAGAAATTTTATTCATTTAAACTAAGAATGGCGGCATACTGACTTTAGTACCTACCTATTAAATGCAACATTCTCAGAACTTTATATGAGGTGTTTTTCTAGAAACTTCGTCTTCCATTTGCCTGTTTAGGTATTTTCTAGATATTTTTGCAAGAAAAGCATTAAATTCTAGTCTGTACTCATCATTATTGAATTGTTGAGCTAACCCGTTACCGCTGCAGTCTAATACTGTTGGGATTAATTCTTTTCGTTTTTAATAATCTATCTAAATACTTACCTATTTATATTTATATAGTAATACAAAAATAAATTGACAAATGTGTAGTTAAGCGTATAACTGAATAAAGCCTGGACCAATTTCGCCATTTCTTTTCCGTTAATGTCAGGAGAAGGTTTTTCTGAAAGAAAATTTTAGAAAAGTATAGTGGAAATGTGGAAAATAGCGCACTTTTTGTCGTTTAAAGGTATTAAAACGTGCATGGTAAGGGTGGGTCACTAGGATTGAAATAAAATTATGATCGCACCAGTTAATAACCTCCTTGAAGTACCTATATTTAAATTTTGGAGCAAAGCCGACGAACGTGTTCTTAGGATGGATTAAGTGGTGTCAAAGTCTTAGTCTTATGATGTGAATGAACTTTTTAAATCTAGTACATAAGCAATTGGGAACACGGTGATGATAATGTTTCAGTTTGTTTCGTCGTTTTATCTAAGAGTCTCTTTGTAGTTCCACATAAATAGGAAATGTCGGCTTCTTTTAATTTTTTTTATATAATTTTGGAAAAGAGCTTTTTATGACTCATTTACCAAATTTATTGTTTTGAAGTTTTATCGTAATAAATAATCTCTTAGAAAACGTTTATTATAATGGCTGTTTCAGATGGTCATGGTAAACAACACGCAATCTATAAATATTTGGTAATATGTACCAGCATAGTAGTAATAATTTAAATAGTATATTAACCATATAAGCGAGGGAAACCCATGCTTCGGCTCGACCAGAGTGATACCGCAGCCTACAGGAAACCAGCGTGAAACGAAACTTACGTTGTATTTCACTCTGTGATTGAGGTTTCCAAAGACCTCCTTCCCTTCTATATCCAAGTCTGAGATCCCCTATCCACAAAACCCTAAAAAACACTAAATCGGTAATAATTCTGGCTTTGTATCTATAGGCAGTGCCGTTTTCGTCCCTTCAGATGACCCGTCAGAAAGTGAAACGCCTTAAACAACATAATAGATCAAAATAATGTTGAGAACACTTCTCTATGTAGAGAAAACACCTCTGTATTATGAAGCTATTTAAATTTAAACTAGTTAACTGTCTCTTTGATACGGTATCAAAAGCTAATAATATCGATGTCAGTTCGGCCGGATGCTGCAAGGTCTGTAAAGGAAGTCTGGTGACGTTTCATAATAATTGGCAGTTGATACTGTGTAATTATAGATAGAGATTTTAAAAGAACAGATTATTAAAATTGTTGTTTTTTTTAAGTTTTTTCGTACTGGGTTGAAGGTCACTGGGAGAATTTTATCTTCAGAAGTAGACATCATATTGGGTAACATATTGATTTTGATGATGACGTTGACAGCAAAATGACTCAAATATTTCTTCAGTCTTCGATACCTTGCTAAGCAAAATTAGTATTCTTCACGTGATCTTAATGTATTTTTATTTTTAACTTTTTTTATTATTGTTCGTTTTGTGTCTTTTATGCGTCCCAGACGCGAATAAATACTTTTTGTTTGTTTGTTTTGTTTGATCAACTGAGTATTTACTAACACACCATAAATCTGAATCTAGACTCCAAATGAAAACCCTAATAGCGTTAATTTTACGGACAAACGCACTGAAACCGGCCGGACTACAACCACAGCGTTGTGTTTCACCGTGTGAGTGAGGTTACCGGATGCCCAATCTTTCCACTCCCCCCCATCTAAGTAAATCTTATCCCAAAAGGCCAGCAACGTACTTATAACTTCCCTGTACTTATCACATAAAAAATTATATCACTTAAGTATGGGAAGCCATGATTCGACCCAATAGGTCGGCTCGACCGGAGTGACCACACTGCCTTACAGAAAACCGGCCAGAGAACAACCACAACGTTGTGTTTCGCCGTGTGAGTGACGTAACTGGAGGCCCAATGCTACCCCTCCCCCAATCCCTAATCGCCATAAGGTCGGCAACGTACTCGTAACCCCTCTGTTATTGCGGGTGTCCATGAGCGCGCAGATTACTTACCATCAGGTAATACGTCTGCACGTTTGCCGATCTATCACATAGCTTTCTATAAAAACTCTCAATCCAGTTCGCAGCTATTATCTCAAAATATCCGCAAAACCAATAATACGTAAAGTGTAATGGAAAAATAATGTGTTCCATCAACGTACGTGTAAGCAGCTCGTCCGACCTGTCATATCGTCAGTGATTATCAAAATCTGACATTCTCGTCGTCTGCGACTACGCGCTTACCTCGATGACGTCATGAAGATAAATGATAACGTTGATAGCGCGTTATCGGATAACTGTGATGTATCACTAATCGAATGTATTTGTAGTTTTGTTTTACCACCTCGTACCTGATAATGATGTCAGGTTTATGTTTGAACTTGGAGTGGAAAGTTTTGCATCAGAAACATACAAAATTAGGAGAAAATATTCGGGTGTCTCAATTTCTTTGATGTTCCTCGAAACGTACAATATTTTTTATGACGTAGGGCGGTAAACAAGCCAACGGATTACCTGATGGTAAGCAATTGGCGCCTCCCATGGGCACTCGCAATACCAAAGGAGTTACAAAGCTTGCGTTGCCGGCCTCTTGTCGGTTTAAGGATAGACGATGGGGGTGTTGGAGGTTTTTACCTCCGGTAGTCTCACTCACGCGACGAAACACAAGGTAAATATTGTTTTTAGCTATCGCCAGGTTTTCTGTAAGGCCGTGGTATCACTACGGTCGAGCTGGCCCATTTGTGGCGAAGCATGGCTCTCCCACACGTACAATGCTTTAAGAAACCTTCGGATTTATCGCTTTCTTTGGTGATCGTCTGTACTTTTAAATATGTTTTGAATCAAAACTAAACCTTTTTACTAAGATAGCAAGTACCAAATTTTGTAAATATCTAAATTTTTCATTATGACATGTGATACATAAACCATCTCGTTTAGATAATGGAATAATGAGAACAATGTCTTGGGTAACAAAGAACATTATTGAATTTTCAATTTAAACATGTTCAATAGTGGTACTTTACCTGGATTAGTGGACATTGGAAAATAGAGGTCCTTTCTTAACACATTCGTCGGGGGCACTGAATGTGTTAAAGAGCTGGAGCAAGTAAAAAATGGATGAGCACACACATACGAGTACCTCCAAGATAGGAAAAAATATTATCAAAAAATTTATCAGTATAAAATTATTAATGTATATTCAGTAACTAGTTCAAAGCAATTGGTTATATACAAACTACTATGATGTAATAAACAAACTTGATACTAAATTATACGG